TTAATGCAAATCCCTTTATGCATCTGACCTGTCCCATCAGACGTTAATACTTTCCTTGATTTCTGTTGTGCCAAAGTGTTTCAGGTTTGTCATACACATTTCTTACCCCAGATTGAAATCCGACATTCCTCCAAAGAATCTCATTATTTTCATAAGAAATAGGAATAGTAAAAATACAATATAAATGCCAAAGGTGCTTATTTCTACAAGATTGTCATTACCACTAGGGCTTTTCAAGGAACTAAGTGGGCAAATGCCTCTCCCTCTTTCCCTCCATTCCAATATTGTATAATCCTTATTGGAATATAAGAAACAGCTTTTTTGTAAGTGGTTAACATATCACTTGGGAAACCCACATACCTTTCAAAGTGCCTGAATTTGAGTCCTGGCTCTGCTTTTGATTTGAATTTCTAGCTAGTGCACACCTTAGGAGTCAGTGGGGCATGACTCACACTGAGTCCCTTCCTGCTGCCTTAGCTGCAGCCTGGCTTAGCCTTGGTTGTTGTGGTCATGTAAGGACTTAACCAGCAGATGTAAGACCATTGTTTCTGTCTCACTGATCTCTACTTTTCAAATAAGTAAAAATGAATGAAAAGAAAATCTTGTAAATTTACAATATTTTTAATCCAACTTTACTATTTATATTATGTGGATTCTGTTTGCTCTGAAAGTCAACATCCTACAAATTCTATTTGCTTCAAAAGATAGTATGTAAGAAATTTGAAAAAAAAAAGAGTCTTTATATTTCTACTAGTGATAATGTATGAACAAAACTTAGGCTTTCTTTTTTTTTTTTTTAAGATTTATTTATTATTATTGGAAAGGCAGATATACAGAGAAGCAAATCTTCCGTCCGGTGACCCCAAGTGACCACAACAGCCAGTGCTGTGCTGATCTGAAGCCAGGAGCCAGGAACTTCTTCCTGGGCTCCCACGTGGGTACAGGGTCCCAAGGCTTTGGGCTGTCCTCGACTGCTTTCCCATCCACAAGCAGAAAGCTGGATGGGAAGCGGAACTGCCCAGATTAGAACCGGCAACCATAAAGGATCCTAGTGTGTTCAAGGTGAGGACTTTAGTCGCTAGCCCATGCCACCAGGCCTAAAACTTAGGCTTTTTTGTAGGCCTCTTTATGGTGATATTATAGTCCACTATAAATTTACAGTGAGAACATCATTTTCCAAAGTCAATTCACTGCTTGCTTGGTATGGCTATGCCACCAACCTAACAGATCATTTGCCTCATTTGAATTTCAAATTATTTTTGGAACATCAAAATAAGTTTATTTTAAAATTCTACTTTCTGTGAACTTTCTGTAGTATCCATGTGTATTCAGGAGATGATTATCATTGTTTTTCCAAGTTGCCTTGGGTTTTATTGTGTAGAACTATCACAGAGTATTTAATCAGCCCCGTGCTTATAGTTCCTTGGATTTCTTCCAATTTAGTATTAAAAATAGCACTGCAATGAATAACTACATTCATCAGCTTTTCACTATGATGACGAAATTCCTGAAGAAATTATAACGAGGAGAGGTTTTTCTATTCAGTTCTGGAAATTTAAACCAAAGCTAGGTGATCCCACTGGTTTGGGCTCAGATGAGATGGTGGTGGTGTGCGGAGTCAGGGAGGAGGATGGAGCACGTGGAATGCCAGAAAGCAGAGGAGAGGGGCTGGGCTCAATGTGGCTTTTACAATCAACCCTCTTAAGAGAACTGCTCTCCAAGGACACATCCTATAACCTAAGGATCTTCTACCAGGTTTCCCTCACAAACACCATGACTGGATTAAGATTCCACCCTCTTCACCACTAACAGATGACTTGGGGAGCCAAATCAGATCCAAAACCTAGCACTAACCCTTTGCATAAGTCATTTTGTACTTTGGGATAGCTCCCAAGAATCAAGATGTCTGAATCAAAAGGCAAATGTGTATGTATTTTTTGGATATGAATGTTCAGATTTCCTCCCATAGGAGCTAGGAACCATTTTACAATCTTTTCCTTTTTTTTTTTTTTTTTTTCACATTTTGTAATCTTAGTGAAAATATGTCCCATCCTTGTTCCCCACAGTTGCCAATCAAGTGGGAAGTCAAACTTTTAGGTTTTTGCTAGTGTCATTATTTTCCTTCTTTAATCATTCTGCCCCCAAGATATCCATGATTCTCTCCTCTGCTTTTGGAAGGACTTTTCCAGGATAACTAATAGATGTGTTCCAGGATAACTAACAAGATTGTGTTGAGTGTGATAACAAGGTGGCTGCAGTATCTATTTCCACATACCTAATCATGGAAACAGTAAGGCTCATGATATTAGCAATTCTTGCTAAAAGCATATATTTCCAAAGATAGGCTTGGGGTTCTAGATAACCAACAATATCAGATACAATCCCACTTCTTGCAAAGGTCAGACAGGCCAGTGAGGCACCACTCGCACTCTCTCAAGCTCAGGATCCCGAAAGAGGCAAAGGAGGAACTGTACCCATATCCCCCTGGTTTTTCTTTTTGTCAGCTTGCTGTGTTCAGACCAATCATTCCTGTGTACAGCTGGAGGTTCCTCCAGATGGTGAAGTGACTGGTCTCTAACCTGTAGGACTTTTCACTCCCAGGATCTCTTTACTGCTTTGCAGAAGTAAACATCATGAATATATATATATATACTTCTGTTTGATAGCTCTCATTTCTCTACTTTCCACTGAGTGATTTTGTCCCTTGGGGGACTATATTTAGCAATGTCTGAAGACAGCTGGTTGTCACATCATGGAGAGGGATACCATGGTATCTAGTGGGAAGAGGTCAGGCATGCTGCTTAACGTCTGAGAGCACAAGGACAGGCCACCCCTGCCCAGCACTCATCTGCTCTAAAATGCCAATAGCGCCAAGGCTGAGAAACCCTGCTCTAATTTTTCTTCATGCACACATTCCCAGACATCCTTAAAATGACTATTATCAGTGAACGAGGAAGGGCTGAGTTACAGAATTTCCTTCTTCCTTCTCCCCACCAGCAATTCAGAAATCCCTCTAATCATAGAGATACTAAAGAATTATATATTTATGTGTAAGACTAAAGAACAAATACTATTTCATCTTTCTTCATCATTAGGAGTAATGCAACTTTTTAACTGCAAGCATAAATGGAAAGGGCTGATTACTTAAATGGGAGCCAAAGTCCCATGAATAATCAAAAACTTGGTTAATAGAGTATGACCAGAGAATAATGCAATTGGCTTCTGTGGAGAAATTAAAGTACATGATATGAATTGATATTGAGGAAATTGCATAAAAAAATCACTCTTAAAGTACCGTGATTTGGAGCAAGCAGCCTCAGGTGCACAATATATCACATCCAGACTTTTCCTTTTTTTGTATTTTTATGACTTGTTTCACCTTGGATGACCCAGAAGCCCGGGCCTGGGAACTGTTTTGAAACAATAAGGTATCTTACATTCCATGTTCATTTTAATCTAGTAACAGATATGAATTTTATTACCTGTAGTTTCTTTCATAGGAATTATTGTCAAAATTCAGCTCATTTTGAAGGCATAGACTGTGTTTAATACTTAAAAGATAATCATGTTACATGTATGCCTGAAAAGTTTTTATTTTTAAGGTTTATTTTTATTTGAAAATTTTACAGATAAGAGAGACAGAAAGATCTTCCATTCGCTGGTTCACCTTCAAATAGCTGCAGGGGTTGAGAGCCAGGAGAGTTCCTCCTGGTCTGCCTTGTGGGTGTTGGCTGGGTGCTAAGGACTTGGGCCATCCTCCACTACTTCCCAGGCCCATCAGTAGGGAGCTGGATTGGAATTGGTAAGGCGGGGTCACAAACTGTCGCTGACATGGGATACTGGCTCGTGGAAGTGTAGGATTAGCCTGTTGAGCTAAACCACTGACCCCTGAAATTTAATTTTCAAATCACAAGGGAATTTGCCTTTCAAATTGTAAAGCATCTTGCTTTGCAAAGTTTACAGTTATTCTTGATTTTGCCTTTTATACTTCCAACTTTGATATTTACTCATCCAATAGTATGCATGATACTAATTTTTCTAATTTTTAAGAGGCCAACCTTGAATTTGGAAGGGTTTGGAGAGATGAAGAGAGCTTTGCAAGCCATTTCCAAGAGTGTCCAAACTGGGTAAAGCCTATGTTCTTCACTTTGCTAACATTTGAGTGATGAGAAATGGGGGCAAGGACAAAAAGGAATTAGGTAGTACTGGTGAACCAATAACTATATTGATTGCTTCCCCTCAGCAATCAGGAAAATACAGTGCCTGGCAGCCTATTCCTTAAGACAGTAACTTCGGAGTCTACATGCAGAAACCGGATTGGCAGAGTTCACAGCTCTGTGGTGTGGTCTCAGGCCATTGACATGTCGGGGTTGTGCTTCAGTCACTGCCCAGGAAACATTGGGCTGGCTTGAGGGCTAAGGATGTTAATCTGAGAAAAGCACTTGAGGCAATGAAACAGTTTGGAATGATGGATGGTTGAGCGGAGGTCCCAAGGCCGGAGGTGTGAGTAAGGCGCGAGCTGGCTGACTGAAGGCATCCTTGTGGAGGAGGCGCAGATGGAGTGCTGCCAGGCTGGTAGTCCGAGGACAAGGGGAGCCTCTCCACTGGGTTCAGCCAGGAGGAAGCAGCCAGCAGCATTCTCTTGGGGACTTCATCACTAGGTGTTCCCTTCCTGAGTTCCTGGCCCATGGCCTCAGCGACCACGCAGCCCCGCCGTGCAAGGTCACTGCCAGGGGCCAGAGGCGAATGGCGACGATAGGCAAGCGCCTCCACGGCCAGGGCCGGAGACAAAGCTGTGTAGGAATGCCCGAGTCCTCCTCCAGCCAGCACCGGTGAAAGGATCGAATCCTTCTGTGCCTCAGCTCCCAAGCTCCGCCCCTGCGGGGGGGGAGGCGTTCTCGGCTGCGCCGTAAAGCAGGCAGCGCGCTGGGCCTCTCCACAGCCCTCTTCAATCTTTACGGCAGGCCGTATTCCACGCCTCCAGTATGGCGTCCCCCACACAGGCCAGGGATCATGGGTCCTATTCTAGGTAGCCCTAAGTAGTGCTGATCTGCGGCTGCGGTCTGTCCGTCCCTGCCTAAAGAGAGCTACAGTTGAAAGTTCATTTGGGGTCCAGGTAGCCACACCCGGACAAGCGTCAGGAGTCGCCTGTTCTTTTTAGTTCCTGCGAGGTCCTCCTCTGTCCCGGTTTCCCGCGCCAGTTCCGCGGAGAAACCCCTCTCCGCTTGTCCCCAGGTCCCTCTCTAACTCCAAGGATGAGCCTTCGGCAGCTGCACTTACACTTGCCCCGGAGTGGCTGGCGGTGGTTCCCGTCAGCCGAGACCGTCTGCTCGGGCTGGAGACGCCAGGTCCTCGTGGGTTCCCGCCGAGGCCAGTCCTCCAGGTCTCCGGCGCACTGGAGTCAGGTGGTGTCGGAGGCCGAGAAGATAGTGGGCTACCCCACGTCCTTCATGAGCCTCCGCTGCCTCCTGAGCGACGAGCTCAGCAACATCGCCATGCAGGTGCGGAAGCTGGTGGGCACTCAGCACCCGCTGCTTACCACGGCCAGGTGAGCGCTCCCCTCTCTGCCCCGGCTCGCTCGCACCCCAGGCGGCAGTTCTGGCTGCTCCTACCTTTCCTCAGCTCGCCTGGACCTTCCGTGGCGTGTTTTCTGCGTAGTCTTCCTTCACATGCTCCAACGAACGGAAAACGGTGTTCTTCAGAACATTTGTAGGCTTTTGGCCGACTGCGTTTCTTAACTTTTGAGAGTGAAGGTATCTGGACTTGTGGAGAAGTCGAACAGGGCTGCAAGTGTATCGACTCACTTTCTAGAAACGGACCTCTGCAAATGGGGTGCATTTGACGTTCGGTTCTGGATCGCCTTCAGGAAGTGCAGAGGGATAGGCTGAGAGTGCGTGGTTCTTTCTAAGGGTTGACTACACTTACACAGCCCTTTATCCGCTTGGGATTTTTGTTGCTTATGCTGCCTTACTGCTATGAGGCTTGTTGTTAGAGCCTTTGAGATCCCCCCCCCCTTTAAGTCACACCTGATTTGTAATTAATTTCAAACCTTCAGAAAAATTGCAAAAATCAAAGTACTACAAATAACTCATTTAATTAGATTCACCCCGTACACAGGCACTTTTGGGGTATCCTCTTACAGAGGTCAAGTTCAGGAGCAAGCATTTTACCTAGCAGAGCTCACATCCCACATCAGGTTTCTGGTGGCTTTTGGTTCTAGCTTCCTGCTAATGCAGACCTTAGGAAGCAGAGCTGATGGCTCAAGTCATTGAGTTCCTGTCACTTGTGTTGCTGTGTAATGGAATTAGCTTGCAGTCATCTGGGAAGTGAAGCAGCAGAAAGGAGTTCTTTCTCTGTACCTTTCTGCCTCCCAATTACATTAAAAAAATTAAAAATCAAACTACAGAACAGTTATCAACTTGGAATACTTTAATATTGATAGATTATGGTTCAACTGGCTATGTCCTGTGTGGGTTAGTATTCTATGTGGGCACTGGCTGCTCCATTTCCTATCTAGCTCCAGGGAGGATGGCACGAAGCCTTGGAAACTTGTGCCCACATGAAAGCCCACGTAGTCCTGGGTTTGAATTGGCTCAGCTCTGGCTGTTACAGCTGGGGATGAGCCAGTGGATACAGGATCTTTCTGTTTCTCTTCTCTGTAATTCCACCTTTGTAATAAAATTAAATAAATCTTTAAAAATTATTGATAGAATAATGTACCCTTCATATTCAAATTTTGTTAATTTACCAGATAAGGTTGTTCACCATCTACTTCATGATCCCACCTTTGATTTAGCATGACATTTAGTGGTTATATCCTCTTTAATCTTCCAACCAGCATTTCCAAAATTCTTCTAGACTATTGCAGTTAGAGCACTGGTTCTCAGCATCTCCTCCCTCACCTCCAGAGATGTTTGGCCATGTATGGAGATATTTTGGGGTGTTATAGAAGCAGTTGAGTATCTTAAGATGCCTAGGACAGCCCTAAGTTATGTAACCCAGAATGTCACCAACTACCAAAGTAGAGAAGTCTGGACCAAAATTGATATTCTTTTTCCATTTTTCATGAAAAAAAGAGAATTGTTGATTTGAAAGAGTTACATTGATTTGAAAAAGTTACGGAGAAAGTGAGAGAGACAGAGAGATCTATCTGCTGATTTGTTCCCCAGTTGACCACAAGGGCTAGGACTGAGCCAGGAACTTCAACTAGATCTCCCATTTGGGTGGTGGGGGCTCAAGCTCTTAGGTGGCCATCCTTCGCTGCTTTTCTCATGCCATGAGCAGGGAACAGAACTGGAAGTGGAGCAGTCAAAACTTGAACTAAAGCCCGTATGGGATGCTGATCTCCCTGGCGATGCCTTTACCCAGTATGTCACAGTGCCTGCTCTGTTCTTTTTGTTTTAATTAAACACTTAAGATAATGGTAGAATCATATGTAGTTGGAAAAAAGAATAAGGAAAGACCCCAGTATACCATGTAGTGAGACTAATACAATGTTACAAGCAGGATAATAACATAGATACATTCAGGACACAGAACATTTTCATCCCCACAGGGTGCCCTCCTGTTGCTCTTTTTACAGCTACACCCACTTCCCTTGCTCACCCCTGTAGATTAGTTTTTATGAGGTACCTATCATTTTCTTACTGTAAAAGGTATCAAGCAATAATAATGACTTTGTTTCCTTCGTTGTTTCTGGCTGTCAGGAAGATTACTTTGATTCAGATTAAAGTGGTTCAATAGCTGGAATTATTAGTTCTTCTGCGGCTGTGACCCATACACATTCAGAACACACACATACACACAAACACGTGTATCTATGTGTGTGCTTATTTTAAAGTTTATTAATGAGTTAAATGAGCCTACTACCCTGTTTATTTTATCAGTCCTGTTAAAACTACTTCTGCATTCCTGAGTCTGTCTTCCTGACCCCCACCACACTATTCTGGGTTATTGGTTCTTTTGGTTTGTTTTTTAATTGGAGGTTATTGGTGTTTTTTTTTTTTTTTTTTTTTTTTAAAGACAATGAATGTGGGAATTTGGCCTGGAGGTTACACTGCCAGCTGGAATGCCCACCTCCCACATTGGTGTGTCTGTGTTCAGTCCCCAGCTCTAGCTCCCAAGTCCCGTTTCCTGCTGGTGTGGGCTTTGTGATAATAGCTCCAGTGTCTGTGTTCCTGCTTGCTTCTTGTGGGTCATCTGGGTTGTTGGCTTGAGGCCTGACCCAGTCCTGGGCAGTCTGGGTGTTTGTGAATGGACTAGCAAATGGGTGCTCACTCTGTCCTGTCTCTTCATAAATAAAAGCGTGGAGATATTTCCCTAAACAACAATAGCATACTTTTTCTTATTACATTTGCGAATATGGTAGTGTATTGTGTATGGGTTCCTGTGACATAACTTTTTCTTTTTTTAATTTCAGACAAATGGTTTTATAAGGCTGGTGGGGAGGGGAAGGCTGATGAGCAGTTCTGTCATGGGAGATGACTCAGGACCATTCCATGGCAGGGGAAAGGGAGGGGGACAGAGTAGAGGAAGTGAGGGGCATAACCGCATGCATGAGGAAAACATACACCTAGGGTATATGACACTGCGCTCTATATGTCTTATGCGTTAGCGATGGAGGACAATGAGAGCTCCTCAGGTTATGCATGCCTGTGATTTGTAGTTCAGGGTACTCAACCTGACCAATGTCCCTGACCTGTTCCTGCTAAGACAAGGTCAGGGTGGTCCTGGCAGCACATTCCAAACATTCCTGGGTGAGAGTATAGCCTTAAAAAGTCTGGATGATCACCATGGAGTCACTTCTGCTCTGCCCACCCTAACATTACTGCCTTTTACTTTATGGTATTGGTGGGCACCATTTGCCTCTGGCTGCGAAAGGGGTGCAATGGGCATTAGGTTGGAATATTGGTGGACAGTGGATTATACTGGTCTAGGAAGAGTTGATTGAAAGATTGATTAACGATAGCCTTGTGAAGCAGTGTGAAAGAAGAAACAAAAATAATGTGCATAGTGCGGCAAAGGAAAACGCACAGGCAAAGAGTGTGTACACGCTGGCAAGAAGCTGTGTGATGGAGTTAGTCTGGCCTGCTTCTAATCCTAGGCTCCTTCAGTCCCTCCCTTTGCTTATGGAAACTGTCGGGAGTTAGAGTGACTGTTTTTAGCTTTTTTTTTTTTAAAGATTTATTTTTATTACTTTTTATTGGAAAGGCGGATATACAGAGAGGAGAGACAGAGAGGAAGATCTTCTGTCCGATGATTCACTCCCCAAGTGAGCGTAATGGCCGATGCTATGCCAATCCGAAGCCAGACTCTGCTGGGTCTCCCACGCGGGTGCAGGGTCCCAAAGCTTTGGGCAGTTCTCGACTGCCTTCCCGGGCCACAGGCAGGGAGCTGGACGGGAAGCGGGGCTGCCGGGACAGAACCGGCACCCATATGGGATCCTGGGCGTGCAAGGCGAGGACCTTAACCACTGTGCCACTGCACCGGGCCCTGTTTTTAGCTTTTTTGAGCTGAGTGAGAACAAAGTAGCAGCCTGTGGTCGTGCCAGGACTCCAGCAGAAAGTGACTTCAAGGGAGCTGCAGTGCCAGCTAGCAGAGACGTTTTAAAAAGATGTATTCGTTTGATCAGAAATATAAGGTTTACAGAGAAAAAGAGAAACAGAGAAAGATCTTCCATCCTCTAGTTCTCTCCCCAAGTGGCCACAATGTTGGGAGTTGATTCAGTCTGAAGCCAGAAGCCTGAAGCCTCTTCTTGGTCTCCAGCATGGGTGCAGGGGCCCAAGGACTTGGGCAATCTTTACTGCTTTCCCAGGCCATAACCAGGGAGCTGGATAGGAAGTGGAGCAACCGGGACATGAACTCGTGCCCATATGGGCTCCCAGTACTTGCAAGGGGAGGATTTGTGCCAATTGAGCCATCACACTGGCCCCAGCAGGCACTTTTCCCAAGGTTTTATATGCATGGCTGCTTAACACTCCTTTTGTTACAGGTAGAAGAGTGAACAGCTTTATAGCTTATGGGCTAGAGTGGTTCCCACCCAGGAGTCCTTCTACCCCCAGAGCAGTTCGTGTCCAGTGACCTCGTTCTTGGCTGAGCTGACAGGGTTGTTTGAAAGCTAGTTTCTGTCATCAGCAGCTGATGGCCTGATTTCCTGGCTTCGCACATCTCACACGGGTGCAATTTGAGGGTGCACTGGTCCTGCTGGGTCTCCTTTTTAAGGATTAATTATTTTATTTAATTTTTATTGGAAAAACAGAATTACAGAAAGAGAAGGAAAGACAGAGGGAAAGATCTGTCTGTTGGTTGACTCCCCAGATTGCTGCAGTGCCTATAGCTGAGCCAGTCTGAAGCAGGTGCTTCTGGTTCATCCATGTGAGTTCAGGGACCCTAGGACTTGGGCCATCCTCTGCTGCTTTCCCAGACCTTAAACAGGGAGCTGGATTGGAAGTAGAATAGCCAGGACTCAAAACGGCGCCCATTTGTGATGCTGGCACTGCAGGCAGAGGTTAGCCTACTGCCAGACTTACTGTTTTTTTTTTTAAGCCC